TTCTTTAAAAAATCCTTGTAGATTTGGTTCCTGTTCTTCAATTAAATCACAAAATTTATCTGGATCTAATTCTATGGAAAGCATTTGTTTTCTTTGCATGTTATAAAGAACTTTTGTCAAAAGTTTTTAATTTTTCTCCAAAAGCTAGTAAAATATTATTAGATATAAATTTAAATTAAATAAAAATTTATTAAAATTAAAATTATTGATATTACCTTTGTTTATTTGATTATTATTCATTAAATCTAAGTTAATGTTTGCATTTGTGTTGGAAATTGGTAAGTCTTTTAAAGGTATACTTGTATTGCCTCGGTCTGGCTCAACGATATTATTATAATGTATTTGACAAAGTTGGTGTTCCTTTTTCTTTGTGCTTTTTCAAAAGCAAGTTTAGTAAATCCACGAAACTTTTTATTGCTTTTATCACAATTAAGTACTGAACAAGGTCCGCAATTCCTAAACGAGGCATTTTTCGTTGTCGCGTTAAAATGAAAGTTTAATTTTAGTTATGATCGGCAACAAAATTTAACCAATCATAAAATATTTCACAAAATCCGAGGCGATAAATTTCAGCCAATCACAAGAAACTCTATCATGCTGGTGACTTGTGAGTTGTGACATAAAATTTATCATATAAAAATCTTCGAAATCGCTTTAATATATATAAATTTAAAATTTATAAATATATACGTGAGTCTGTTTCCTGTAGTTTTCGCGTTTTTTGTTTACGTAAAAACTTTTAAACCATGGTCCTAACTAGATCGAAACGATCGAAGCAAGAATTTTTCGAAGAAATAATGCCCTTGCCACAATACGCCGAAGATTATTTCAACAGAGTGGATCCTTTTGAATGGAAACTGTCACATTTTTTACGTTATACGGAAAAATCACGATCAAATAGCGTGTCAAGTGATCAAGTATTACATGCTTTCAAAACAGGATTGAAAGATGTGGTGGAAAAAATGTCCGGCGACGGGAATAGACCTACAATTTTTAGAACCAGAGTCGCGTTGGAAGATGCTGACATGACAAAGCCTCGAAACTTGGCTGGTGTGAAATTATTTATTGCCAAAAAGCTCTTAGAAAATAAGAGAACTAAGGTAAGCTGATTTGAAAGTAAGATAGGAGGAAGAAACTTCACGTGGTGTGGAGGGTCTCCAGCCACCTTCGCAGAAACAGATGTTTGTTCTCGTGTGGGTGGTCCGAGCCACCAGCTGTTAAAGACAAGGAAGCACATATCCATCGCTATAGCGACGTGGTGCTTCTGCTGGCAGGACCTGCACGTGGTTCATGGGTTCCTTTCTTCTACAATAGGTATGATGGTAGGTCTCCATGTCACTCCACCTCCCTGCGTTTCGTGCGTAGTGTTGTATGGTTCGTCCACGTGAGTGATCCCGAGCCAAGGACGCCCGATATTTGAAGGCAGAGGAGTGTGCATATCCACTCTTTTTGTCCTATACCGCATACCAATATTATTTCGTACTTTAGATATATACTTTTCTATTTGTATTCAACACATGAATAATAATACGTTCTTTTTTCCAAGCACGAGTCTGATGAGATTGAAACTTATTGGCAAACTGTACGAGCAAAGACAGCAATCAATATCGCAAAAAGCCATCACAAACTTCAGAAGGTTTCCCAAAAAACTGTAAACCTCCTATGTGGAGAGGTGTTGCCCAGAAAGGTATATTATTATTTCCTTACGAATTGTTTCCCGTCAAAATTAGCAATCCTTTTGACTTGATTATATTTATCCAGCGAGTGAGACTAGATGATGAGGTAGTGATAATCATGAAGACTATGAGGGTGATGATATAATTTATTCACAGACAGTAGATAAAGCCGAGGTTTGTTGATAAGCTATGATTTCGGACTTGATCAATAATAAAATCCAAACTGATTATTCAGTGCAATATTAATAGGAGCAGGAGGCCGAAAATTCCTCTGGCAACGAATCTGAAAATGGGGATGATTACCAGAATGACGAGGCATCCAAGGATTGCTTAAGAGATGTAAAAAGGTACCGTAATTGTTTATTGGAACTACGAAATATATAATTCTCACTATTATTGAAATAGGATGGATAATGAGGATGATGAACTGGAGGTGCATGCTAAAGAGACCATTCGGAACGATGGAAAAAAATGGATCATATGTGGCACCGATGTACGTGACGCATTATCAAAATGGAAAAAAAAAACCAGACCGCGCACTGAGTAAGTATTTCTGTAAAATGTTTTAATATGCAGTAAGTTTGAACATACCTGGCGTATTAATATTGAAAATTTTAGTTTAGCATTTTATGACATCGTAGATGTTACGCCAGGGTCGAACAGTGATTTTATACGATCACTTCCTAAAGATGTAGTGCATGAAATAAGACAGTCAAAGTTATTGCCGGCACCTGTTATCGATAATGCGGACGGAATGAAACAATATATTATTGATTTTATTAAGGTACTACCAAATATCCTGTTGTTTTGCTCCAAGATCTCTTAATTAATTTTTTACAATATTAGACGAAAAATTTTCGTGAATATGTCGATGAAAGTTATGTGAAAACACGAAAGAACAATATTATGAAATTCATATGGGACTATTTGAACCTCCTGTAAGAACCTTTTAATGAATGCGTCTCTCCAACTTATGTCTTAACTTACATTCAAGTTTTTTTTTTCTTTAGTGTGGAATCATTTGAAAGAGATAATGATCTCGCCGACTATAATTTATCTGAGCTAGGATATCGGGAAATCTTCCTCACACCTCTAATGCGCAGTCTCTTCCGTGGAAAGCATCGGGAAATGAGTATTTTTTTGTGGGTATATGAATAACATGATACAATCTTTGATCTTATTTATACCCATTTTTTAATGAGTTGTAATGTATGTTTATTCAGCGGTGAAAAATGTCTTTTCGCTTCATCGGAAGATCGAAATCGGGAAAAAACCGATGAGGAATATCGTAATGCTGGTCGAAAAATAGACATCATCTGGTCTATGAAACCAACCGACTTTGAATTTTCTATATGTGAAGTTAGTGGGCCACCAAACCAGCATAATCATACGCACTTTTTTAATGATAAACTTAAGATTGCCAAAATGTTGAAGGTTATCTTGAATAGGATCGTAATAAAATATGGTGGTGCGGGCATGAATTTGAGTTCATTAAAATTGTATGGCTTACATGTTTATTGTAAGTAATTCCAATTTCGAAATTATTTCATACTTTATGAGACTAACATTCTCTAACTTTTTACAGATAATGAAATAATGGTGTATGAAATGTCAGTACCATTTCGTGGATTATACGTTTTTTGTGAAGTATTACGATCAAAACTCCCAACAAATGATGTTGAAGTGGGGTTAATGTCACGATCAGTACCAGTATTGCTCGAATTCAAGGTTTGCTTTCATTATAGATTAACTACATTCCATTAGCTTCTCACACTTTACGAAATATTTATTATATAAATACCAGAAGTTACTTGAGAGGAGTTTAACTGGTCTTAAAGATTATATTCAAGATGCATGTACTCGTACACCGGATGACAATGGAAACGCAGACCTATTTATTACAAGTACTGATTTAACGCCCACAACAAATAGAAAACAATCGAATGGATGGTAGCTAAAAAAAAAAAAAGAAATAATGACCCCCGACATTATTAATCAACTTACAATTTACTCCGTCATGATAAGAAACGAAGGTTGGGTGATTTATGTATTGCAAAAAAGAAAATATTATTTTTATACCGTACCACGTTACTTTATACTGCTTTTGTGCATTTAATATAATAATAAAGTTTTATCGTATCAGATTTAATCATGTATGCATAGTATGAGGTGTGGTGCATTGGAAAAATTTCAAGCGATTGATAAATGCGCAGTACTATTTGTGCTGGAACAAACTTGCAAACTTGCGCATAAGATTACATCTCTTATTACAAACTAGAGCTCCAAACAGGTCGGGTCGGGTTGGGTAATTAATTAACTTGACCCGACCTGATAAGGTCAGGTCAGATCAGACATAAAATTAACCTGAATTAAATATACATTTGACCCGATCCGACATGACCTGACCTGTCTAAAAAAGGAAATTAAACAATTATTAATTTAGTTTAATATTTTTTAAAAAAATATAAAAAAATATACATTTGATTATTTTTCAAAAAAAAAGATACTATGGTATGTGTTAACTATAAATCACAAAAATATCATGTGACTTTAAAATTTTATAAGTTAGTAATTTTAAGTAATAAAATACATTTGAAACCGATAAAATAATAGAATAGCATAAGTTGAACATTTTTATTAGTTTACTTTTAAAGATTTATTAAAAAAATTTAATTTTATTAAATTCGGAAATTTAAGAATAAATCATATGATCCATATAGAAAAAAGAAAATTTCAGACTAGATCATTTACATAAATTTCATATGAAAATCAAAAAATTGCAGTACACATTTTTTTTATATATAAAAGATGTACTGAATTCTATCGTAAAACTTGGAACAAATAATCACAACCTATTTTATTGTTAATTCAATGTTTTTGATTCAATAAAAATATAACTTGCTTATACAAATTTTTTTATGCATTTATTGATATTAAGAGGAAACATACTTAATTCTGAATTCTATTGTGATTTTTCATTTTACATAAATAATGTAATATATAAATATTAAAAACCTGTAAATATGTTCCGTTTTTACCTATTTTCCAATTAATAAATAAATATTTATCATTTCCCACACATTGATCAAATCGATAACAATGGCTGATCCATCAAAGTGAAAAATAAAGGTTAAAAAGCAAAAACGGAACAATAATGGTACATTTACAAAGAAATCACGAATTGTTGATAATTGGGAAGAAGAAGATTATTGGGAAGAAGAAGATTATTGGGAAGATGAAGATGACAGTAGTTGGAATGAAATTGATTTACCAAACGAAGATAAAAATAAAAGTAAATTAGTCTGATCAAGTAATACACATCTAGAACAAAAGAAACATGAATCTTACCTTACTGGAACAACCAAAAAATCAATTTATTTTGATAAATATGGACCAAGTGGTTCTTTTACAAAAGCTGCAAAAGGAACTTCAAACATTTTAACGCTTATAAATAAACAATCAAACCCAAATGATTTTGATGAAGTTGTGAATGATGTGGAAAATGAACACAATGATCAGCTTAATCTAAAGAAAAGGATTGAAAGTTTGAGAATCAAACTTAAAACAAAACAAAATTCATTAAGTATATCTGAATTTAACAAAAAATGAGCAATCTTCGAATATTTGAAAAGATTAGATAATAATGAAAGAAATAAGACAAAGGCTAGTATAGAAGCTATGTAATTGGTTTTCATTGATAGTGCTCCATATAGAGCACAAACTATTCGTTATTGGACCAATTATTGACTCCAATATAATCATCTTCCAATAAGCCGTCAAGGTAACCATCAAAAGACAATGCGGCTAATAGATGATGAAGATATAGCGGAAGAGTGGCATACTTGGATTCGATCACAAGGTGGAAAAACCATTCCACTAAAATTCAAAACATTTATTGAATAAAAGTTACTTGTTGATTCAAGAATAATAAAAAAAACCATCAGTACAGAAACTGCGACACATTGGCTTAAGGTACTTGGGTATTTTTTTCAGTCACAAAAACAAGGTAAGTTAATAAGTATTTTATAGAATGTTAAAAAACAGAATGTTAAAAAACGTTA